CGCCTCAAGGTGCGGGTGCAGGCCCCGGGCGGGCGGCGGGCACCCAGCATCTTCCTGCTCCTCATCTCTGTCTCACCCTACCCGTACTGACACAGTCGAGGGACAGGAGGGGATGCGGGGTCACTTCTCCTGTCCCTCGCCACCACCCCGGAGCAGGTACAGGGCTCGGGGAGAGCTGAGCTTGCACCTTTCCTCTCCCCCCACAGACACCCTATTGCTTTCCCCTGCCCCCACAGCAGCCCCTGCCTGTGTTTTCTTCACTCAGGGCCCATTCCTGACTCAGCAAGGTCCTGGGAGGGACAAGGTGTCCCACCAGCCTCTTGCAATGGGGTTTTGTTGCAGTTCTGCAACTCAAAGCAAACACAGCTCTGAATGACCTTGGCCACGATCAGCCCCCAGATAGAGGTGGGGAGGATGAGGCAGGGGACAACGGCCAGTGAGGGCCCTGCTGGGGTGCAGAGTGGGGTGCCCCAGACTGGGGAGGTCACAGAGCACCCCAGTATTAACCACATATTAAATTGAAATAGTCCTGTGTTCACTTTTTTTAATCCACTTAGTTTCTGTGCATGCTTGTTTATTTATGGTTTTGTTCTAAATAAAGGTGTTTTGTGGATAAATGTCAGCTGTGCCTGAAGAAAGCAGTCCCAGGAGGGGGCTGCACCAGCAGCAGCCTTGAATTCCCAAGGCTTTGGGCCCTGTGTGGCCTTGTACCATAGAAGTGAGATCTTCTGTATGTGGCAATGCCGGTGGGCCAAGGTCCAGCATCTGAAGGTCCAATCCTGCCCCAGTCTCAGGTTCCTTGGTCAGCCAGAGCAGGATGTGGCCTTCGTGGACGTAGTGCAGGAAGAGGCTGTTCCCAAAAGAGCTTTTCAGTCCTACTGCATGGCACTAGCTGGAGGGATGGGGGATGCTGGCCCCAAGGACCAGAGCTCATGGGTCCCAAGGTTTGGGCCATTGCGTCTGGTGGTGGCCGTGCACCCAGGTGAGGGTGCTGCTGGAGCTTGCTCTTGCTGCGCCTGCATGGGGGCACTGAGGTGTCCCCAGAAGGCCCTGTCCTTTGCGTTAGGGGTTTCCCATCCCCCAAGGCCAGGTCTGCTGCTGTCCCCAGAGCACACGTGAAAGGAAAAGGTGGTTTTGCCCCAACCCTTCCTGCCCACCTGGGCTCGCCAGGAGCTGCAGCTTCTCTTCGTGTTGGAGTTTCAAATAAATTCAACCTTCCCTTTCCATGCTGTGCAGGAGAACTGAGAGGTTGCAGAGCAGCCAGTCACTGGCTCCCCCCCGCCCCCCACTTTCCCCCTCAATGG